AGGCTGAAGGATGCTGGGGAGGACCAGCCGCTGAGGGGTGATCTCACCAGTGCAGCCACATGATTCGGGGCCGGTGGGTGAGTAGGGGAGGGACTGCTGATGATTAGGGGACTGGAGGCTAAAACATGAGGAACGGTTGCAGGAACTGGGTATGTCTAGTTTAATGAAAAGGACTAGGAGAGACATGATAGCAGTGCGCCAATATCTTAGGGGTTGCCACAAAGAAGAGGAAGTCAAACTATTTTCCAAAGCACCAGAGGGCAGAACAAGAAGCACTGGGTGGAAATTAATCATATGATCCAGGGCCGGTGGATGAGTAAGGGAAAGTACAGCAAGGACAAAGACAAAATGGACTGCTAAATTGGCCATGCCCACCCAGCCACATGCCCACCTAGCCATGGCCACCCAGCGGGTCTGGCCTCCCAACAGTCTGAGGGATCATGAATCAGCCCCGTTTAAAAAGTTTGGGGACTCCTGCCATAAATGAATGGTCACTTTAGTGGGGACAGTAAAGGCATCATTTCATACTATGCAGGGAAAGGTGATGGTAAAGTATTTGTTTTACCAAGAAAACTGCATGGAAAGATGTGCTGTAAAGTGATTAGCAATGTAGTGCCAGATGATGAACTCCTCAGGTCACATGGACGCAACACCTTGTTGAGGAAGAGCTGAGGATCTCATGTTGTTTATAATATGGGTATATTAAAATCTTTGAAAGGACTAGTTGCTGATGTTACCATGCAGGACAAAAAACCTGGAAGCTACAAACACAATCTGGACCCATTATGCAAAGGCCTAGTTCTTTGGAGAAGTCCATAATGCTAGGAAAAGTATTAGGATGGTGAGAGAGGACAATATGGACTAAATTACAGTAGCAATGTATACACTATTGGAAGACTTGAAGGATCATGAAGGATTGTCCTGGAAAACCCATGTGGTTGTTAAGAGTTGACACCACAATCAATTTTCAATTATTTTAAATCAAACCTATATAGCTGCATTTCAATCTAAGCCTCTAGGTCAGGGCTGTTAAACTCATGACCCGTCATGTGCTGGCTATGCCCAGTTTAGCTAAGGGGAAAAAAGTTGTGACACGTTTCATGATGATGCGAGTTTGACACCTCTGCTCTAGGGGGCTCAAAAAACAACAGTAGAATGAGAATTATCATAAAAAAATTATTGAGCCATTCCATGTCTTCCACTTTTTTCCAGGTCTGTTTTTCCAGGTTACAATTGTTAGGGAATAGAAACTGAGGCAGAATTGAGATGGAAGTAAGAACCAAGCAGAACGTTCAGACCAGATATTTTGCTAAAGCTTTCATCAATCTTATTGGCTTCAAGAAGTTTGTTGACTCCCGATATCCCAGGCCTTTATATAAAGATTACCTCGATGATCTTAGATCATCATCAGAAAGATATCTGAAAATTTTAAGTGCACAAGGGTAAAGCCAAATTCTGACAGCATCAATAAGAGAGATATATTCCTAACAATGGGAAAATTTATTTCATAAAGTAACATGTTTCACAGTATATGTATATGCAGTATTGTAAACCATCAATATTAATATTGTAATGGAGATAGTCAATTATTGTGTACCACAAGCAATAACTTGTTATACATTAACAAAGCAATTTGCACAGGAAAACACTTAAAGAAAATAGATAGGATTTTAGACTGTTGTAACTTTGACTCTCTAATATTGATTTCCTTTAGCAGCACACATAACTACTCATCCTATGCTCATACATGCTTTGTTGCATTTTTTGTGGTACTCTGCTGCCAGATTTTATAATCCACTGAAGATGCTGAGGCCTGTATTTGAAATTTAATAGGAGAACTATAGTAACTGAAATTAAATGTTCAAACAAGGACCGCATAAAATTGCACTACCGAGAATACAGTTGTGTTGATAACATTATAATACCAATGCATAACACAGATGTTAACATTATGGAACCAGAAAATTTATAGTTCTACTGCTGTTCCAAAATGTACAATTTTAAAAGCACAATATAGAAGTCACTGTATAATGACTGTTCTTTAATGAGTAGAAGTGTTATATGATATGATTTATATAAATACATTGGAACAGTATTAGAGAAATTGAAATGATGGTTTATTTTTACTGCTCCATGGAATGAGGTGCTTCACTCAGATACCACAAAAGGAAAATATTTTGTAAACAGAGCATACTATAACAGTCTGCAAATACAGCAAAAGGAACAGACGTATTTAGCATGGTCCTTCTCAAAAAAGGTATTCATAAATTTAAAAAAGCAAGCAATATAAATAGGTGTGACAATATGACTAAGAAAAGACTATCTTGCTTAACAGTAGTATGGGACAGACATATATTTCCTTCATAACATGAAAATACTACATTTAAGTGCCATCTGTTGCAAAAAGTTTGAAAGCAGACTATTGCAAGTTTACAAAGCATTATGTAGAGGATTATAGAATCTGCCTCAAGAAGCATCACCTATAACACTGATGTTTGTCTGTGGAAAGTGATATATTTAACTTGTCAGAATAGTACATAAACCATTGTTTTGTTTGATACCATATTTGAGAGACATTACTTCTATACATTTGTAAAGGAAAAAGCTAGGAGAGTTGAAATATATGGACCATCTATCCAATTACTTTAGACAGATCTTCCTATCAAAATGAATATAAAATTTCCTTCAACTTAGAAAGCAACATTCATATTAGAATAGAAAGCTATATAATGAGAATAAGGTCAGGAGGAGAATAACAATAAAGCTGCAACAAATTTTCTCGTGTCTGCAAAACAAAGCATGTGCAATGATAGGAAAAATATATTACTATATATTGTTTAAAATTATTTCAATTGTTGGGGGAATTCACTTCTACAAATCTTCATAAACCTCTATTATAATTTATTTCCCAACATTAATATTAAACAATTGGCATCTTAATTAAACTTTGACAGTTCTTTGGTGAATACTTACGTATAAATATACCAGTTATCAGATACTGGAAGTGGTTCTACGTTCTAACAAAAGGGCATTTAAAATGGTATTTAAATTCTTATATAAGAATGTTCAAGAAACAATTGTTTAAAACTCTTATGTGCGTTATTCAGAGAAACTAATACATGCTTGTTGGCCTTGAAAGACAAACTTAAAGTTATACTTTCCTATGAACTAAAGTGGAATTGAAACAAGCATAACTTTCCTTGCATTGTGTCCATTAAAGGAACAGAATGAGATCACTACTTAAGATTAATTCTGTGCATGATTCCCCACCCTGTCACCTTTGTGTAGTAACCTAAGAATTAATGTTCAGTGCATCTGATTAAAGTATTGCACATACAGAATTAAATCAATGCCCAGTTCTATTAGTTATTTTTTAACTAATATTTTCTACCAAGTTTAAATAATTATATCTTAAATAATTTATCTTTCCATAAAATCTTGTGTCGGTAATGTTTTAGGTGCTAAACAAATTAAAGGATCTGTGGTCGAATTGCTGTTGGTAGATCTGGATGGTATAGGAGGTGCCGGAGGGCGTCTTGCTGGCAATAGATGAAAAGATCCAGAACTTTTGTTATGACCACTGTAAACAGTAATGTTTGAGTCAGTGATATTTTGTTCAGTGCCCAGTGAAAAATAAGTTGTTTGCAGGGAAGAAGCTCTTTTTAAATCAGTGGGATTGGCCAATGGTTTCAGGGTTAATACTAAATCGTCCTCTTCAAATGTTACCCAACCTTTTTGTTTTCCATTGTTAGATATAGAAGATGTACTCTGCAAACTAAAATCATCTTCAAATGTATCAACATAAAATGTAGCTTTGCCTTTCTGATGAATAGGCGGCTTTAGAGATGGAAAAGGTTTAGAAGTGGGTCCTTCTGCTGAACAATGTGAAGTTGCTCCAAATTCTTCAGATTCAGTTCTAAATGGATTTCCAGTGGTAATATTTTTTTCAGTAAAAGGGTTTGTGCTGTTTAATCTGGTAGCAAATGGATTCAGGGAACTGGACATGTATACCTCTGATTTACTGTGTGCTAGTGTATGTGGCGTACTTATGCTACTGAAATTAAAATTGTCTGTTGCAGAAGGCAGGTTTGTCAGCTTCTTTTGACTTAAAGATACAATCGGTGACATTTGAACTGACTGAATTTTAGATTCAGAAAACAGCTGAAAGGACAGATCTTCAAAAGGATCATTGTTTAGTTGTGTTTCAAGCTGAACAGCATGGACTCCATTTGTTCTAATCTGAAAAATAAATATAACATTCAAATATGTAACTTGTCTGATAAAAGATCCATTGTTTGTGAAAGAAGCAGTGGATTTGAACATCTGCCTCATTACTTTCATTGCATTATCCCTGTCAGAATATATACACAAATGGATCTACTATATACACAAACATACTATATACTTACAGTATGAAAGAAAAATTACAGGAAGTTTTAAGATCACAACAGAATGTTTGGGTTAAAAGCACTGCATAGTATAAAGAATTGAAGCATTAAACTGATACAAATTTACGTGCAGAAAAAAGTTAATATAAAATATTTTTCATAATGAAATCTTAGTAATTAAGTCTTGAGTCTTCTCATTTTTAAGTACAGGTTATATTAATTTGAAAAGAGTAATGAGAAAGTTCCACTCATGCTTGATAAACAGGCCAAAATAGAAAATATTTTCTCTGTCATTTATCTATTAGAAATATCTCCCATGAATTTCAACAGAATTAAAGCACAGTGGAAATGGAAATCATACACAAGCTCCTCAGCCCTACCTAACATTCTCACCCATCCAATACCTTTCTCTAGTGAGCTCAGACAATTGCCCTAAGGTGATTCAAGCCAATGGCCTGGCTCACCCTCCCAGCACAGGAACGTAAGATGCCTTGTCCAAGTACAGAAAATGAGTTTAAACTTAAAGACAAGTTGTTTTTAATCATTTAGACACATTCTACATTTTTTTAATATTAAAAAATATTAAAAAATCTATTATGTAAAACTAAACTCCAATAAATATAATTGGACACAATGTAAAACCATCAAAGGTTATGACTTGAAATATTATGCTTTAATATTGACATTACATTTAGCAAAGCGTGACTTGAAAATTCACTATACTTAAAAATCAATGATCAATATATAACACTGAAGCTTAATTGCAGAATAAATAGAAACAAAACAGTTTAGCAGTAATTAATGTATTTTGTTTATGGACTAGGTTATTACCAAAACCGGAAAGATCAGATTACTACATTTTAAATTATGTTTATTGCATTGATCTCAGATGCAAAGAAGTTTTTTTAAAATATCTAAGATTAACTTTATTTTAAAGTTAAACTAGATAGATTATATGTGAAATGTAACTTTTTAAAAAATATGACAGAGAAAGTTGACTTAACCAACAAGAAAAATTGAAAAAAATTGAAACCGATATTTTTCCTGATTCTGTAATGTTGTCTCAGGCAACTTGTGTTGATCAGTGTTAAATAGTTTCAGATAGTGAGAGAATCAAGCACCCTCAGTTGCAAGAGTTCTCAAAATGTAAGGTTCACTTGAAGAATTATAAAGACGACTTCATTTTATTTTATTAAATAAGCTGCTAAACTGTTCTGCTCCCTTTTACCATGGCAATAGCAAGAAGCTGTGCATCCCCATCTCTCTTGTCAATTAATGTGTCAGGGACAAAAATAAGGCAATTTTTGATAAATGTTAAGTCTCTCTAGTATGCTGTCATACTACTTCCATTCTTTCCACTTCCAAAGAATGTTTAGTACAAATGGGTATATTGAAACATATATAACACAATTTGAAAACTCTTGCCCCTATAGGGCATAGCATGTCAAGTTAAGTAAGTTGCCTTACATGTCAATAATGATGCATATTTGCCTATTCATACAGGCAGGTGATTTCAGTGCAAGCACAGATGTATGAACATAATTGTTCATACATCTTTTATGCTAGAATTTATGGAGAACATAGAATGGATGAAAAAATGTAAGACCAGTAAAGAATCAGGTACCTTTTACCCTGAAGGTTGATCCTGCTTGTGAGAAGGAGACAGATATCAAAAGAAAACATTAGGGAGAAATCCAAGGTAACATGCTTCCAAAAGACTCAGTATTACATTGGCCACATTAAGGGGAACTATAATTCAGGTACAATGTACATGCAGACATCTTTTTCCTGCACTAACCTGAGAACCTCAGAACAAACAGTGTTTCTCTTTGGGCCTGGTTACAAAGAAGGCTGCTAGTTGCAAGAAGTGGATTTTGTGTCGTCTTAACAACAATGGGTATATTCCTGTCCTTACTCAAACTTTTTTATATTCCTATGAAAAGTTGGGCAGGGCTTGGATGAGGGATGAATTCTCTTGAAATATAATTGGATATAGGGCAAAAGTTACTTAGATCAAATACCAATTATATTGTACATTATGGAATTGCCAAATTATGAAATATTCTAAAGGTTCACAATTTTTTTCTTGGTGTTCTCTTGGTGTTCTATTTTCTGAAGACAAGTTAATAAAGGTATTAATTTCCTCATTTGCTTCATAGTTCACAATAGTATGCTATGTATGTACAATTGCTAATATACATCAAAAATGGATTTTAAATTATAAGATACATTTTTGAAAGTTATTTTACTTTTAACAAAGTAAACAAAGGTAAACGGGCACATACAATTTACATTTTTCGATTATTTTCTTATAGCCAATGAAAAACTGTATTTTTTCATCTGGCTGATCTTTCACTGTAATAAATTGAAATTGAATTTATTTGTCCACGTTTTAAAGAATTAATTTCCCCCCTCTTTATTTTGGTATTCTGTTGTTGCAAATTTTATTTTGTATTAATTTCAATATTTTCTTTTTTCTTTTTTTGCCTTTTGGAAGTTTAAATATTTTTCTGTTTCTGTTCAGGAAACGATTTGCAGAAACAGAACCTCTCCAGGAATTAAAATTTTGGCACAGATTTTGACTATGATGAAGATAAACCTAACTAAGGTCCAATGTACTGAATCCAAGATAATTCTAAACATAATTTGTTAATCCCTTCACTTGAGTTATGCCTATGCTTCCTTGTGACAGAGATTAGGAAGCAATAGAACAGCTCAGCCTTAATTTGGACTTGAATAGTTTAAGCCTATGTTAGCAATTTATAAGTTGTTCAGCTTTCTATACTGATACAGCAGTATTTTTGAGTGGAGCAGTATACAGGAGTAGCAGTACATGAATTGCACCCAAAACAAAATGTTTAAAAAATATTCTGTACGTACTTGCTTTTGTGATGGAATGTTGTCAGAAGGCAAACTTTGGGATGATTTGCTGCGGGGGGGAGGTTGTGGTGGTGCCTCCAGGTTTGCTGGAGAAGCTGCTTGAGACGTTGCTGTCATAGGTATAAGTGGCTCCTGCATCTTTACAACAGAGGTGGGTTGAACAGGAACTGCTCCTTGTGGTTTAAGTGGTTCAGGAAGTATAGGTGACCCTATAAATACATTTTATTTTCTTAGTTCCAATACCAAAAGTGTTTTTAATAATGATAGAGATAATAGTTGAAATGCCAAATCTAATCTGAGCAACTGGCTGACTGTGCAACAGACTATGATGTTTTTTTTAAAAAAAAATCTATGGGTTAGTGGGACACACATACACTTAATCAACCTAACAACAAGAAACTGCTATTCCTTGAGCATCATTTTAGAAGAAAACAGAGGATATAAACCTTAAAAATAAATAAATAAATAAATAAATAAATAAATAAATAAATAAATAAATACTTTTCTTAACTCTTTAATTCAGTTG